CTGATTGGGAGTTACTAGGAGAGAGGCCATTCCTAGCAGGAGAATCACTTGTGCAAAGGCCCTGGGGCAGAAGGGAGTTTGGCCCCTTTGGGGAAGAGGGAGATGCCATTGTGGCTACAGATGAAAGAGCAAGGGGGGATAGAGGTGGGCTGAACCTCATTAGCCATGATAAGGACCTAGGCCTCTATCCTGGAAGCCATGAGAAGCCTCTGAAAGTTATAGGCAAGGAGGAACACATAGCTATTCATTGGGTACCATGTCCACTACCAGGGAAGAGGGCTTGTTAGAAACCCAAACCTCACCTTCACACAGTTTACTTATGTAGCAAATCCTCACATGTAACCTACAAGTCTAAAATAAATAAATAAATGAATGAAGGAAGGAATGAAGAATAAATTTATTCATTTAGAGTTGGAGTCTCACTCTGTTACCCAGGCTCGCCACCACGCCTGGCTAAGTTTTTGATTTATTGGAGAGACGAGGTCTTGCCAAGTTGCCCAGGCTGGTCTCTAACCCCTGGACTCAGGCAATCCTCTCACCTCCACCTCCCACAGTGCTGGTATTACAGGCATGAGCCACTGTACCGGGCCTAAAATAAATTTTAAAAAAGAAAGTTGTAGGCAAGGAGTGATGACATCAGATTTATATCTCAGAAAGACTATTGAGGGTCTACTGAGACTTACTGAGCTAGAGAGTGACAGTCATCAAGCTGGTATTTTTGAGAGGTCCTGGCATGTAATTCTAGAGCAGAGGCTCTTACTCTGGGGTCCATGGACTCCCAAGGGTAGCTTTCAAGGGAGTCATGAAACTTAATATCAGGTTCACTTATTTTAATTAGCCTCTAACAGAAATTCCCTCATGAATTCCTTCCATTATGAAGTAAGGCAACAAAACACAGTTGTGATTATAGTACACAGCTTTGTCATCAGCAGAAATTACAGATAGTCTCATATTATATTACATTTGCAGAAATTATACAATATTGTTTAGGTTCATTACTGTTTTAAAATTATGGTAGTTATTATACTTTGCTATTTAATGAGTTTACAAAGAATCACATATATGGCTATGTTTTGTTATTTTGTTTAATGCTCTGATAACCAACAGTATTCCAATATAGTTGGGTTTCTTTGTAATCCTATATATTTTATTTATGAACTTATGATTCTGTATAGTGCCCACAGGCTTCCCCAGAATGACTAGGGGTGTGAGAAATATTGGGAACTCCTGGTCTAGCTTCTTTTAGCTGTAACTAACAGAAACCCAACTCTACTTAAGCCCAAACAAGAAAATGAGAAACAACTGGCTCAATAACAAGTCCAAGGGGTGCCATGACTTTAGGGGTTCGAATGATGTTCTCAGTAGTCCATTTCTCTCCAACTCTGGTTCTGCTGGCCTCTGAGTTGCCTCCTTCTTAGGCAGGTCCCGCCCACATCACACTCACGCTTCAACAGATGACCTGGCTTATATGTCCCTTTCTTTTTTAATTAATTAATTAATTAATTAATGTATTGAGTTGGAATCTCACTCTATTGCTCAGGCTGGAGTACAGTGGCACGCTCATGGCCACTGCAGCCTCAACCCGCTGGGCTCAGGTGATCCTTCTGCCTCAGCCTTCCAAGTAGCCGGAACTATAGGCATGTGCTACCAGGCTAGATTTTGATTTATTGTAGAGACGAGGTCTTGCCCAGGTGGGTCTCGAACCCATGGACTCAGGCAATCCACTCGCCTCGGCCTCCCAAAGTGCTGGGATTACAGGTGTGAGCCACCACACCCAGCCTATACATCCCTTTCACCAAAGAATCCAGCAGTAAAGAGAGGACATCTTTCAGCATCAGGCTCATGAAACTCCCAGAGAGGGAGCTCATTGGCTGGCATACAAGAGTCATGTGCCCAGGCTGAGCCAATCACAGTGGTGAGGAAGCCGGAGTACTCTGATCGGTCTGCTTGGGTCATGTGCCACTTCTCAGCCAATTATATTGATGGGAAGGATGACGTGTTCTGATTGGCCTGCCAGGGTTATGTGCTCATCCCAGAAGCGAGATGTCGGAAGCTTCTCGGCTAGAGCGTCACTCTGAGCCGACTGGGGCAGGGCCGATGGGACCGCTGCAGACCTCCTGGGTGTCCGCTGCCGTTGAGCCCTGTGCCGTCGGTGTCAACGCATGCGGCTCCCAGCCCTGTACAACGAGAGGAGGCGACTGCCGGGCGACTCGCGTGCCTCCCATGGAGGCTGGGTTAGGCTTCTCACGGTCTAGGCTTTCATCGTCTGGGCTTACGGCTCCCCCGATTCCTGCAGTGAGATAAGACCCCAGTCGAGAGTAGCGACGACCAGTACTCACCCAGGACTTGCTGGGTGCCGGGGACTAGTGTGTAGTACTTGGCGCACATTTCTCTTCATGGTCCCTTCAATCCTTTCAGCAGCTCTAGGAGGTGGGTCTTATTATTGACAGTGCGATGATGGCCGAGTTCGGTGGCTCAGCCTGTAATCCCAGCCCTTTGGGAGGCCGAGTGAGTGGACGGCCTGAGCCCGCGGGTTCGAGACCCGCCTGGGCAACTGGGCGAGACCTCATCTCTACAATGAATCAAAAATTAGCCGAGCGTGGTAGCGCGTGCCTGTGGTTGCAGCTCCTTGGAAGGCTGAGGCGGAAGGATCGCCGGAGCCCAGCAGGTCGAGGTTGCGGTGGCCGGGAGCGGCCGCTGCACTCCAGTCTGGGCGACAGAGTGAGACTCCGACTCAAAAACAAACAAACAAACAAACAAAAACAGTGCGATGAGATCATTGTAAGTTGCTCGAGGTCATGCAACTGGCAAGTGGCAGCCCTGGAGTCTCAGCTCCTTCCCACACCTGTGCTGCTTTTCCTGCCTGCCAGGTGACCTTGGTCTAGGACTGTGTCAGTGCCTTCATCTATAACACGAATTGGACTGACATGTTTGGGGGGTTGGAGGTGGAGCTGGGAGGGCCTTCAGGGATGAGAGGAGGGGGTTGGGGAGGGGACAAGACCTTTGCCAAAGCAACCTGGCCTGGAGCTTCTTTGTTTCTTTTTCCAGGGTGGTCTCCGACACAACTATGCCCGCAGAAGCTTGCCGACTGCAGGAAGCAGTGTGAGCCTGACAACTACCTGGATGAGGACAACCGCTGCAGGGCCTGTGTGAGCTGTTTGAGAGGTAAGGGCCTTGTTCTGTCTTCAGAGAGCATCAGGAGGCCTCAGAAGAGAGGCAGAGAATCTGGAAGTTGGGGAGCATCGTGATTTTAGGTCTGTACTCTGAATGGTCCTCCTGTTGCTCCAGTTTACCTCTCTGGATTTGTGAATTGATATCAGCCATGGCTTTTTACATCCATCCTTTCAGAGAGACTTTTAACACGTGTCCTGAAGGAAGGGACTCACATTTATTGAGTTTGATCTTCACTACAACCCTGGTGAGGAAGTCCTCTCTTATTCCCGCTTTACGTTGAGAAATCCGAGGATTAGTGAGGTTATGGGTCTTTCCAAGGTTGCACAACTCTGGGATGTGGTAGAACCAGAGTTCAAGTTGATGGCCTGACACCAAGAGCTGTGTTCTTCCCCTAAGACCACAATGCTTCCAGGAAAACTTTCAAAGAACACTTTAATTGTTAATTTCTTATTATGGCTAGTGATTGTGGTTTGTGTGCTATCTGGTGTTTGTTTTGTTTTTGTGTGGGTTTTTTTGGGGGAGTGGGGTGGGGAAATTTGTTGAGATCTTCTTGTGGCCTAATAAATGATTTTTAAAAAGTGTTCAGTGTGTGTTAGTGTTAAAACTGTATATTTTGTTTGTTATGCAAAGTTCAACATAGATATGTATGATCAAGCTTGCCAACTGTGTTATTTAAAGAAATGTATTCTTATTTGCTTTTATCACCTTTACTGTTGATTTCTGAGAGAGATGTGTTAAAATCTTATTTCTTAGTATGCTTGTTTATCCCTTAGATATTTATTGTGTTATTTCTACTTCTGCTTTCATATATATCAAAGCTATGTTATTGGGTACATAAATGTTCATGGATATTATGTTTTCTTGGTGGGTTAGAACTCTTATCAACGTGAAATATACCTCTCTGTTCCTTATAATGTCTTTTCCTTTTTTTTTTTTTGAGTTGGAGTCTCACTCTGTCGCCCCAACTGGAGTGCAGTGGCACGCTCCTGGCCACCGCAGCCTTGACCTGCTGGGCTCCGGCTATCCTTCCGCCTCAGCCTTCCAAGTAGCTGGAACTACAGGCGCGTGCTACCATGCCTGGCTAATTTTTGATTTATTGTAGAGATGAGGTCTCACCAAGTTACCCGGGCGGTTCTCGAACCCATGGGCTCAGGCAGTCTACCCGCCTCGGCCTCCCAAAGCGCTGGGATTACAGGCTGAGCCACGGAACCCAGTGTCTTTTCCTTTCATTCCAATTTTGTTTGATATTAATATTGCCATTCCATTTTTCTTTATATTACTATTTCTCTAGTATATCTTTAAATTTTTTTTTTTTTAGTTGAAATCTCACTCTATCACCCAGGCTGGAGTGCAGTGGCATGCTTACAGCCACCACAACCTTGATCTGCTGGTCTTAGGTGATCCTTCCACCTCAGCCTTCCAAGTAGCTGAAACTACAGATGCATGCCACCACACCCAGCTAATTTTTGTGATTTACTGTAGAGACAAGGTCTCATCAAGTTGCCCAGGCTGGTCTCAAACCCCCAGGCTCAGGCACTCCTCTCACCTTGGCCTCCCAAAGTGATGGAATTAAAGGCTGAGTCACCACGCCTGGCCTATCTTTAAAATTGTAAAAGTAATGGCTGCATTTTATTTTATTTTATTTTTTATTTTTTTGAGTTGGAGTCTCACTCTTGTTGCCCAGGCTGGAGTGCAGTGGCATGCTCATGGCCACCACAGCCTCGACCTGCTGGACTTAGGCAATCCTTCCGTCTTAGCCTTCCAAGTGGCTGGAACTACAGATGCATACCACCACGCTCAGTTAGTTTTTGTGATTTACTGTAGAGACAAGATCTTACCAAGTTGCCCAGGCTGGTCTCGAACCCCCGGGCTCAGGCAGTCCTCTTGCTTCAGCCTCCCAAAGTGCTGGGATTGTGGGCTAAGCCACTGTGCCTGGCGGCATTTTATGAAATGAAAATTGTGTAACTCATTTGATAAATTCACGCAATACGGAAGAGTGTAAGGAAAAAGCCAATTCTGCCCTTCTTAGCATCCATCTACAAGTAACTACGGTTATTACTGGATGATTGACACGTCTCTTTACCTCTGTAGAGAAGAGGATGGGTAGTAGCCGGACAGATTGTGCACATATAGAAAGAAGAAATTTTAAGAGCTGGCAGCATATTATTTATGGTATTAAAATTATTGCATTTAATTTAATCACATGTATCAGAGGAAGAAGAAACTAAAGTGAAATTAAAAGAATGCCAACTCTCAGATTAATGTATTTTCATTAAAAGAGCCTTTAAAAAAGCCTCTAACATGAAGAAAACAGGTTATGAAAATCAATCAGCAGGTAAGAATCATTTAAGGAACTACTGTCTCTTGTGGTAAAGTCACAATCTACTTATTTCAGTTTTTGGATATTGTACACTAGATTGACTCCCTGTTATGATGGATGAGGTAGTTATCTTGCTCACCTTCCCATCCTCTTCCTGACTTTTATTGCTGACATTCTTTTTAGTATGTCCTAATCTGTTATGTTTCTTTTCTTTCCTGCAACCAAAAGTCCCTTGGAATGTTAGCCTTACTTTGAGGTCTATGTTTATTTATTGTGCATTGAGCACATTTACCACACCATCTCCATTCCGATTTTTTCACTTTGACTCCTTTGGTTGATCAGATTTCACTGTGAGGTAGGGTTTTCAAGAAGGATTCATCTCTGCAGTATTCCCTGAGTTCGTTCATGTTTGAGGATGCTGTCTATTGCCTTTATACTTGAATGGCCACTTGGGCAAGTATAATATTCTTGGGACACATTTTCTTTTCTTTTTTTTTTCCTGAGTTGGAGTCTCACTCTGTTGCCCAGACTGGAGTGCGGTGGCACGCTCCTGGCCACTGCAGCCTTGACCTGCTGGGCTCCGGTAATCCTTCCACCTCAGGCTTCCAAGTAGCCGGAACTACAGGTGCATGCTACCAAGCCCAGCTAATCTTTGTTTTATTGTAGAGATGAGGTCTCGCCAAGTTGCCCGGGTGGGTCTTGAACTGGTGGGCTCAGGCAATCCACTCGCCTCGGCCTCCCAAAGTGCTGGGACTATAGGCTGAGCCACTGAACCCGGCCTGGACACATTTTCTTTAGAACTTTGCAGGCATTGGTCCACTGTCTTGTATGGAATGTTGCTGTAGAAGGATCTGCAAGCAGCCTTCTTTTTTCCCCTTTGGAAGTGACTCGAGAATAATTTTCTCTTTATCTTGAGGATCAATAACTTAGCCAGACTGTGCCTTGATAGTCATTGTTTGTAAATAATTCACCCTGGCATCTGGAATGTATTTTCTGTCTGCAGATTTAGTTATTCCTTCACTTCGGGAAAACCACTGTGGATTTTATCTTTGCTCGATTTTGTATGTATAGTAAGTCCCCACATATGAACCTCAAGTTGCAAACTTTCAAAGATGTGAATGTGCATTTTTTTTTTTTTTTTTGAGTTGGAGTCTCACTCTGTCGCCCAGACTGGCCGCTCCCGGCCACCACAGCCTCGACCTGCTGGGCTCCGGCGATCCTTCCGCCTCAGCCTTCCAAGTAGCCGGAATTACAGGCATGCATTACCACGTCCGGCTGATTTTTTGATTTATTGCAGAGATGAGGTCTCGCTGCCCAGGCGGGTCTTGAACCCGCGGGCTCAGGCAATCCACTCACCTCAGCCTCCCAAAGGCGCGGGATTACAGGCTGAGCCACCGAGCCCAGCTTGTGAATGTGCATTTTTTATGTTTTATTTCACTCCACGAGGTGTCAGTATAGCCCATTTAATACATACTGTACTATATAGCCAATTGTGTTTGTTAGGTACCTAGGCTAACTGTTGGACTTACAACAAATTGGACTTACAAGCACACTTCTGGAATGGAGATATATATATTGCTGACTGTATATATTGCAATCTCAGCATCATGGACTCCAGTTGTCTTAATATATATTTGTCTTTTTACGTTTTTTTTTTTTGAGTTGGAGTCTCACTCTGTTGCCCAGGCTGGAGTGCAGTGGCACGCTTACGGCCACCACAGCCTCGACCCGCTGGCCTCAGGTGATCCTGTTGCCTCAGCCTTCCAAGTAGCTGGAACTACAGGCATAAACTACTATGCCCGGCTACTTTTTTGATTTATTGTAGAGACGAGGTCTCCCTAAATTGCCCAGGCTGGTCTCGAACTCCTGGTCTCAGGAAATCTGCTCACCTCGGCCTCCCAATGTGCTGGGATTACAGGCTTGAGCCACCGAACCCAGCTGTCTTTTAACTTTGTATTCCATGGGATTTCCTTAATCCTTTCTCCATGCCATGAATTCAATTTTCTGCCAAGTTTCTTCCATTTCTTACTTCCCAGGTATCACTAGACCCCCAGGGCACTGAAAATTTCTGTATTGGATTTCTAATAGTGGTGCTGCACATCTTGGATTTTTTTGGTAACTGTTCAGTTTTCTTTTTTGAGTCAAGGTCTCACTTTGTCGCCCAGGCTGGAGTGCAGTGGCATGATCATGGCTCATCACAGCTTTGACCTCCTGGGGTCAGGTGATCCTTTCACCTCAGCCTCCCAAGTAGCTGGGACTACAGGTGGGCACCACCATGTCTAGCTACATTTTTTGATTTTTTTTTTTACCTTTGATTTGAACTTTTTCTTTATTGAATTATATATATATATATATATATATTTTAATTTTTAAAAATTTTTTAATTTTAATTTTAATTTTAATTTTTGAGTTGTGATCTCACTGTGTCACCCAGGCTGGAGTGCAGTTGCATGACCACAGCTCACTGCAGCCTCGACCTCCTGGGCTCAGATGATCCTTCTGCCTCAGCCTTCTGCATAGCTGGAACTATGTGCTACCATGCTTGACTGATTTTTTTGAATTTTTGTAGAGATGAGGTCTCACTGTGTTGCCCAGGCTGGTCTCAAACTCCTGGGTTCAAGTGATCCTCCTTCCTCAGTTTCCCTGAGTGTTGGGATTTCAGGCATGAACC